TAATTATTAAGGCCCCTATCTTACCCTAAGCCCTAAGCCCTAAAGCCTTTCTGGGGTTTGTTCATGTTTCAACCAACAGAAAAGGATGTCTCAGAGGCACAGAATTGGGGGGGGTCTGTTCGACCGAGGCATGCACCCAGGGGCCTTCAGCCACGGGTTAAGGAATAAGGGTCTTGGATCGAAAAAAGCACTTGGGGGTCGATTACAAAGAAGTCACGAATCTGGACCGCAAAAGAGCCAAGAGGTGCGAGGGATGTTTAGGGTTTATGGTTTAGGGTTTAGGGTTTAGGGTTCAGAGTTTCGGGTTTAGGGCTTAGGGTTTAGGGGTTAGGGTTTAGGGAACCATGCTCTCCGACAGAGGGTCAGCTGGGGAGTCCAACACCCGCAACTGCACGCCCCTACATCTTCCCTAACATCGAACACCACCCTAAACGCTCTCTATCATTATGTATTTAAACCTTAGTTACTTTCGCGGAGTTTTGCTCATGTTTGAGCAAATTCCGCGAAGCGATGGCAGCAATCTGGCTGGATGACCGCCACCTGCTGGCAGAATTTGCTCACGTTTGAACAAATTCCGCGGACGGATGGAGGTCATCCATCCGGACAGCTGCCGGACGACCGCGCTTCGTTCGCGGAATTTGCTCACTAACCGCCCGCCGTTCGCGGAATTTGTTCACTGACCGCCGTCCGTTCGCGGAATTTGCTCACTGACCGCCATCCGTTCGCGGAATTCGTTCATTTTTGAACAAAATTCCGCGAAGCGATGGCAGCGATGGCAGCTATCCGGAGGGTTTAGGGTTCGGGTCTCAAAAACTTCTAAAAACATCTTGATATAAAACAGAACTTTATATTTTCCAATGTTGTGGGATTCAGGGGTGGGTGGGTGTTATGTCTAAGTTACAAATGTAACTGTCCTTTAAAACTGCTCGATCCGGAGCTGCTGAACCCTAAACCCTAAGCCCTAAACCCTAAACCCCTAAACCACTAAACCCCTAAACCCCCCAAACCCTAAACCCCTAAACCTAAACCCCTGAACCCTGAACCCTCTGAGCCCCCAACCCTCAATAATCTGAGACCCCCAGCTCGAAACCCTTCTAAGACCCGACGCCCTGAACCTTCAAAGATCCCAAAGATCCCCACTGTACCCTCCTGTACTCGAGGCTTCGGGGGTAGAATCTAAGGGTTTAAGGACTCTCCCCAAGGAGCGGGTGTTGGTAACCCTAAACCCTAGGGTTTAGGGTTTAGGCTTCCTATAGGTTTTATGATTTAGGGTTTATGGTTTAGGGTTTAGGGTTTAGGGTTCCTATAGGTTTTATGATTTAGGGTTTATGGTTTAGGGTTCCCATAGGTTTTATGATTTAGGGTTTATGGTTTAGGGTTTAGGGTTCCTTTCCAACTGCAACAGGTCACTCTCCGACATCTTCCGGCCCAGGCACTCCTGGCCCCCGCTTGGATGTCCCAAGTTGCAGTTTTAAGTGCCCTTTCTTTCCTAGGGACCTTGTATGCTCTAGGGTTCTAGTGCCTTTTTTTCTAGGGATGTTTGATGCTTCAGGGTTCGAAAGGCCCTTTTGCAAAGGAGCTGTTCTGCTTCAGGGCTTGGGGGCTTCAAGGATTAAAGCCTGGCCTTCTTGTAACCCTAAACCCTAAACCCTAAACCCCTCAACCCCTAAACCCCTAAGACCCTCAACCCTAAACCCTAAAGTGGGGCGGTTCAGGTGGGCTCGGGGTGGGAACTTCGGATTGAAGTTTTCAGTGCAGGGGCTTAGGGTTTAGGGTTTGGGGTTTAGGGTTTAGGGTTTGGGGCTTCGGGCTTCGGGCTTAGGGTTTAGGGTTTAGGGAATTCAGGAGGTCAGGACGGCGGGATGAAAGGTTTAGGCATGCCGCGTGAAACTGTGATCTTTGCAGGCAAGCCCCAACAGATCCAAAATACACACGCACCAATATTCCTAAGCAGTCGTACATACACTCACCAAAACCTTCAGAGAAGAACCCTCGTTCATGTATCTCGGCTACGAGCACAATGACCAAGGCATACTTCAACTGAAGCTCCTAACATAATTCAAGGTAAAGCTTGTGTGTTACACCGTATCCAACCCAATCAAAGTCTCTATGAAACTGTCCCGTAAAGCCCTCTAAACACCTCATGTGAGGGCCGACGGCTACGATGCCTCTAGCTGCAAGAGCTGGTGCAACACGAAGCTGATGCTTGTCTTCGCCGTCGCCGTAGAACGACCATCAACGTTAGGACTTCGGGCTTAGGGTATTTGCAAGATCATCGTCCAGGATTACCAGTTTTCGCATGCTCTGAGGTTCAAAAACTAGTGTATTCTTTTAGACAAATGCTGCCCAACCGTTCCAAAGCATTTCTGACGTTCGTGCCTTTCTGAATACTGCAATTACTTGTGAGAGCCTCTGGACGTCGACACATCATGACGATCCGAACATGACACCGGTGACTATGAACGGCATCGAGAACATGTAATGTAGGGCCTTAATAATTAGACTATCGTTTTGAGGTATATTATCCAAAATTACAACAAGGAACCCCCAAAAACAGCATAGGTAATCCCCTAAACCCTAAACCCTAAACCCCCTAAATCATTTAGACACCCAGATGTATGAGAAGACGAAACCGCGCGACGCCGCTTTTCGAAAACCGGCCTGAGAGCGGGAGCGTGTGATCGTCCCGCATGGCTTCGTAGTGCTTGTGAGTCCTGTTTAGGGTTTAGGGTTTAGGATTTTTAGGATTTAAGGCATCAGATCAAGACAGTCGCAGTGTAAGCAGCGGTTGAGGGTTTAGGGTTCAGGGGCAGAATCATCTAGCCGACCGCATGCAGCATCATGGAATTCACGTAGAGACTTGTAGGATATGTATATAACTCTTTCTTTACTTGCTTGTTGATTTTGCTACCCTCCAGGAGCCCACGCTTGGATTTTGTTACAAGCTGATCCTGAGCATCACGCAGAAGAGCCCTGCAGAAAAAAAACATATAATCAACTCGTTCTTGGACACTCAACACATCCCTTCCGTCCCTGTTCACTTCGCGTCTTGGCTGCTGCCAGCAACATGCAAGAAACTCGAGCAGCAATTTCGATAGTCACAACAACATCCAAACACGCCCCCTGGTATGGCCGACAAAATTCACACACGAAGCACACAGCAAATGCATCATGGCGAGTTCCCGCTTGTTCAGCGGATGGCTTTTGAATGGAACAACAGATCGCCATCCTCTTCCTCCGCAAACCTTCTCCTCGACTCCCGGCATGAAACGTGATTCTTGGAAACAGAAAGATACGCGTTCCTGAGCCCTGCCATTGAAGACGACTGGATTCAAGCTTGTGTTCCCTGATGCTCCGGGATCGAGACAAGGTTTACATCAAGAGCTCAAGCATCCGTTCCGAACAAAGTTTACCAAGTCGCAGATGGTACTCAGTCTGCAGTAGCAGTAGCAGTGGTAGCAGCAATGGCAGTAGAAGCCGCAGTAGCTGTCGCAGCTGCCAAACACCTTCATCAACAGAGACCTAAAGCCCCAGACACCAACATGAAGCCCCAAATCCTTGTGAAACAGCATCCAAACCTATGGTGACCCTTACAAAGACGGACCGCATGGCAACCCTCTGTAATAAAACCACACTTTCTGTGTAGCCGAAAGCCCGAGCCAAGGTTTGGCTCGCATGGCTCCTCTATGACCACGACTATTAGCATTATCGTGATTTCTAAGATGATGATGATGATGAAGAAGAAGATATTCAGTATGGTAGGTATTAGTTTTGTATTATTGTTATTCGGACTTTTGAGGGTTTCGTATGTCCTCGGGGCTTTTGGTTTCAGCACGGACGGCTTCAAGGCCACAAGGTGCACCACAGAGCCAAGCGTCCTTCAACGTCGCCCTCGAGCGCATCCACCGAGATGAAAGTGTGCTTCACTTTCAACATGGGTGCCGTGAGATGGCTTTGCCAGACTCAGACGTGTTAATACTCCGGCTACGTCCGGGTCTCAACGTCGGAACACCGCCAAACGGCTGCGGTGGAAGACATAAGTGACATAAGGCTGAGGGAGCTAAACCCTCATATCAGGGCCTAAAAGAACCGATGTACATGTGTATGTATGTGTATATATATATACATTTATATACATTTATGCATAGAGAGATAGGGACTGAAAGAGATGTTCCCACTAGTTATTCAGACCCCTATGTTCCCTTAATTGGAGCAAACGCCTCATTTCAGGGGGATAAGGCAACCACAAGAGCTCCAATCCTTACTCTACCAATGCTAGGGTCAAGCAACAATTTCGGCTCGTGGCCTGCCTAAGGACTGTTCCGTGAGTCTCAAACACGCCTCATACGCGACTCCTGCACTTTAGGGTTTAGGGTTCCTAACCCCTAAACCGCAAACCCTATACCCGCCATACCCAGCACATGTGATTGTTTACTGCCGTTCTTCCCAGATGTGTCGGGCCCGCTTGCGTGGGCGGCGTTCGCTGTGGGGCAGCTGCGCGCAGCGACGGCAGACGCAATATGTGCAGCATCTGACGTGTGGGCCAGATTTTGCGTCACTCTTTGCCCAAATCAAGAACTCCTCCAGATCGTCGCCACATACCTGAGGAGCAAAGCAGCAGAACTCTGAAATGACAGGCATCCCGCATGTGAACCCTGGCAAAAAAAGGTGCTTCGGTGGAAAATGCCCTTCTGCATGTCGCAGGCTGGTTGCCAGAAAGTCTCTTGCCGGCATCCCCCGCCCAGATCGGCCGCAGCTGTCGCAGGCTAGCCTCTCGCGCAAGAGGTCGGCTTTGGCTGTGGCCGCCATGGGCCGGAGGAGGGCGCAGCAGACGGCGCAGGTGTGCTCGCCCGGCGGTGCCGAGGGCCCCAGCAGCCTCTGGAGGCCCCAGAGTGCCAGGGGCGATGCGGCCGGCGCCTCTTTCTCAGGGGTCCAAGGCGTCGGGATGGAGCGCTCGATCTCCGTGGGCTTGGGCATCGGCGGACGAACCGCCGGAGGCACCGCCGGAGGCAGCGAGGGCAGAGAAGGCAAGGGCAGCATGTCTGGCAGACTGTTGTCGGAAAGGTCGCCAACGTCCGCCTCCTCTTTGAGCGCCGTGGACCGCAAGTTGTACCTCTTGACGGGCATCACGGGCTTCGCTGGTTGACGCTTCCTCTTGGCCTTCGGTGCCGCGACCGCAGGCTTGGTAAACGAAGCTGCCGGGGCAGGCACAGCAGCTACCGAGAGCGGTTTGATGATGGACACCTCGTCGTCGATCAGCTCGATGTCCACGGGCGCCGAGTTGACTTCGGCAACATCCGGCACAGCACCTGGGCCCAACCCTGAAGCTCTGGCATCCTGTGAGTTGCAGGTAGCATGGGCAGGGGACATCATGACCACCAGACAGCGAAAATGCTAGCATCTAGGGCATGCCAAAGAAAATGAGTGAAGCAATACTACGGTGACTAGAACTGTGTTCAAAAAAATCCTAAACCCTGAAACCCTAAACCCCTGTGTGTGTGTGTGTGTCCATGTTCCGCATTCCCACTCCTCCGCCCCCCACCCCAAACGCAAACACAACACTCTCCCCAACTGTGCTAGCCTTGGAGTGCCATGTGCCGCCCCCCCCCCGGGGGGAGGGAGGAAGTGCCAACCTTGGTGCTGTACCGGTGAAGAAAGGAGCCGTGTCACGCCACCAAGAAGCAGGGTATATAGCATCGCCACGACAGCGGGAGCAGAGGGGAGGTAGTCGTGAATTTGGAAAACCCCGCAACCCCCAAACTCTATACCCTAAGCCCCTAAACCCCGAACATCTAAACCTTAAGCTTAAGCCCCTCAACCCTTAAATCCGAAGCAACCCTTACAGCAACCCCTGCTTCTGACCCGTATAGCAACCTTCTGATCTTCTGAAAGGAAGCCCTACACCCGAAAGGAGCCCTAAACCCTAAACCTAGACCCAAAGGAAACCCTAAACCCTAGACCCGGAACCCCTAAACCCTCAACCCTAGACCCTAAACCCTAAACCCTAAACCGTAAAGGAGCCCTAAACCCTAAATGTCTAGACCCAAAGGAAACCCTACACTTCCCTAAACCGTAAACCGGGCCAGGGGCCGAGTCTCTTCCAGGTGATGCGCTCCGAGGGATGGCCGCGGATCTCCCAAGAGAGCTCCTTTGATCTGCTGGAGGGTTTACGAGGCTTTTAGGGTTTAGGGTTTAGGGTTTAGGGTTGAGGGTTTTAGGGTTTAGAGTTTAGGGTTTAGGGTTTAGGGTTTGATAAGGGGGTTTATAGGGTTCTACTGTTTTTTTTGAAGGATTAGGATTTCGGCAAGGGCTCGACGGTTTTAGGGTTAAGGGTTCTAGGGTCTGCTTGAAGGAAAAGGGCACCTATTGTTGATGACATAAATCCTGCATTACCTTGAGGGCCCTAAACTATGGGAATTATGGTATATTCCTCATTGTGGGTAATGCAGGATTTATATCATCAACCGTAGTAAGCAGGCCGTAGGGCTGCAAGTACCTGCGCAGGGGGTTCGAGTACTCACAAGCCTGCTCAAGACCTCCTTTGCTGGCTCCCACGAAACCTCCAAGCAGACCTGTTACATAGATTTCGTTATCGTTCGGCCGACCCCTTGCACTTCCTCTATCACAATATGCAAAAACACTCCTCCTCAACGCAAAACCCGAAGCCCAAAATTTAAACAAAAAACACAAAACCTGGTCAGTCTGCAAACCTCAAGCAACTAAGTAACTATAATAAACCCTAAGCCCTAAACCCTTTATAACCAAGCCGGAGCGAAGACCCGGACCATAAAGGAAAGCACTTTGCAACGCGAAAGGCCACGACAAAAAGCGTGTGCACTACCAACAGAGTACAAGGGTTTAGGGTTTAGGACAGACATCCCAAGCACCCGAAAATCCCTAAACCCTGAAGCCCGAAAGCCTAAGCGCCTTTCAACAGTGAGGCTTTGTCAAAGACCCTAAAAATCTGAACAAAATCAAACCGGCAAGAACACGACACAAATCATCCTAAAACCCCGTAAACCGTACCCCGCTTGGTTTGCAGTTCGCAATACTATCCCTTCATAGCTTCTATATAAAAATGCAGAATATTTTACAGGCCGATAGTAAACCCAACGAAATTCCGGAGAAAACCATATGAGAGCCTCTAACAACTTTTGGGAAAACCCTCAAACTACCGGGGGTCGGCTGCATGGACCTTCGCCCGATACTCGCCAAGCACAAGGAGCCCATCCTCGCGGAACTCCGATTGTCTGATCTTCCGAAAAAGATTATGAACTTGTTCACCGGGCTTTATATGCTTATAGGGATTCGCAGGCTTCTGTGGGGTTTGATAGGGGTTTCCGAAGGGCTTTTGTAAGAGGTTGTCAGAATGGATGGTTATAAGACTCGCTTGAAATTTTCTAGGATTTGGAGGAATTCCGCATGGGGAAAGGCTGTTGAGGGTTACGGACGGCGGGACTCTGAGGTTCCTGTTGGCTATGATGTCCCTGGCACTCTGAAAAGATTTCGGGCTTCATGGTTTAGGGTTTAGGGCCTCACTGGACTTTACCTTAGTAAGAAGGTCTATCATGGAACAGTTATGTGCGGCGTATGGTGATATTTCCACGACTGACTCAGTATCGTATATAGTATTGTTAGTATTGGCTTAGGGGTGAGGGCTTGGAGATCACGTGAAGCCGATTTCCAGGCTTGGTGGCTTGAGGCTTTTCCAAAACCCCAAACCCGCAAAACCCTAAAACCCCAAGCCGCAAAACCACTGGAGCCCTAAAGCCCTGGAACCCTAGAACCTCTGGAGCTGTAAATCTAAAGCCCTGAAACCCTAAACTCTGAAACCTCCCTCCCTCCCTCCCTCCCTCGACGTTTAGGATAAGAGGGTTCAGGGTTCAGGGCCTAGGGCGGGGGATGACGGTTTGCCTCTTGATTACCCGTACATAGTAAGCTTTTTGGGTTGATGATGCTCTAAAGGTACCATATAATTGCAGGAAAGACTACAAGAGAACTTCAGAGACTATACACGCTTCTCTTACTAACTATTCAGCCCCAGGCTTTGTGTAAGGCAGCGTGGCCGTTGCGACTGGACGTCCCCCTGCCGTGCCTTGTACCCAAGCTGAAACTCCTGCTGCAGATCGGAGTAGAACACAGTGGTGCCGGTAACCTTCGCAGACAAACCAAGGCAAGGTCCAGCTTCCAAAATGAAAAACTTCCTTCTTCCTCCCATCCTGGCACCTGAAGCAACCTGGCTCATGATTACCTGATTACCTGAGCAGCCAGGACACCCTGTTTACGGAAAACCATCGACACCGCACGGAGTCCCACAACCTCGTATCTCTAAGGTTTCACGATGGAGCCCAAATCCCAATCTCGTATATGAACCACAACCTCCCTGACACCAAAACTCTGAGCGCTAAGCCATAAAACTCCAAACCCTTACCGGGCCTACACACAATCTAAACCTTTAGACCCCAAGCTACAGCCTCAGCGATGCCAAACTGGCCCGCGTCCCAGTGGCCCTGTAGCAGCGCCTCCAGGGCGCAAAAAAAAAGGGGTTTTCAGTGATGTTTATTACCATATTGGGGGGGCTTGTTAACACAAGAGGCGTCCTTTGAGTCATTCTACTGCCTTCATCATCAGAATCCTAGTTTCAGGGACACTTTTGGAGCCTCCGTTCAATTTTTTCGAAAGCCCCCGTCTAGAAGACTGAATATTCCTTCCGATGTTTGGGGTTTTTGGGACCGGGCAGACACTTTCACTCGGGGTCTGGGGCTTGGGGTTTGGGGGACCTGCGCGGCCAACTCTAAACTCCAAACTGTTCTCCCGTCTACGTTCTGCCAACTTTAGGGTTTTGGGTTTAGGAATCCCACCTCCCTAGTTGCAGCTGACCACCACACCTGACTGTTGAAGAGTTTTATGGGAGTGCCCGACAGGCCCGGCTATCGGTACCTTATTAAAACAAGCCATACATGAGAAGCCCCTGTTTAAAAATCCTGACCCCGAAACTCTGAATTTCTACACTAAGGCCCCCTGCAACCCACTTATGTGCTGAAGCCTCGTCCGTGGGCGCCAAGCCCTTCCGAGCTCGACCCATGGCCACGAGGACACGGCACCCTTGCTCTTCGCGCTTTGAAAGGGTATACTCTAATTGGGGTAAAATTAAAACAAGGAACCCTTAGAAGGAACCCTTAAGGGCAGTAAGAGTTATCACTCAGGCTTCTATGTGGGGGTCTGGGTTGAGGGCTTAGGGGTGTCTAGGGTTTAGTAAGTTAGGGAGGGCTTGAGGGCCCTTTGGGATTCCGAATGGATTTATGGGTTCAAGGGTTCCTGCAGATGTTTTGTTTTGGTGTTGGAGGGGTTTAGCGTTTCGGTTTCGGTGAGGATATCGGGCTCCCTAGATGACTCTGTAGAATTCGTCGTGCTATTCCACAGAGCACCCCGGAACCCATGAAAATTCGCAAAAACTTAAAGCAGCCTTTACCCCCAAACCCTAAACCCTAAACCCTAAACCCTAAACCCAAACCCTAAACCCTAACCTAAACCCTAAACTCTAAACCCTAAACCCTAAACCCTAAACCCCAAACCCCAAACCTACCTATGCCAGAGTGCTTCAGAGCCCTGACTACTCCGGCTCTGGCGTTGGAGCCTGGGGAAAGCTCGGAACCTGCGACTGTGGGCTGTGAAGATCCACAAGACACATGGGCTCAGATTTAGAGGTTGGGGATTCTCAAGGTCTTCTTTAGAGGAAACTATAGGTGGGGAGTTCAGGGTATATAGGGCTCCTATAAGAATTCTATAAGGTATATAGACCTTCTATAAGGCTCCTAGAACGGTAACTACCCACCTGAAAATGTCCTAGACTTCTGTTTAGGGAAGAGTTCAAGCTTGCATTTAGGGTTGAGGGTTTCAGGGTTCGGAGTCTTGCTGTCGTTTTTGGTGGCCTAAAAGTGCCTGAAGCTTTAGAACACGTTCGAGCCCTAGAGCCTTTAGCTCCCGAAGGTTCCGTACCGAGACCCTTCACCCGTGAAGCCAGAAGTAGCCCAAACCCCCAAATCCTAAAGCCCAAACCCCCACATCCCAAACGGTGATTCGGATCAAGATTCCAGGGAGCCCTGAACGCGGTGCTTCAGGGCAAGCTAGCACTCGAAGAGCCAGGGTTAGGGGTTCAGGGGCCCCCGGGGGGGTTGGTAGACTGAAGCTTCGGAATCGAGTCGAAGCCTTTGAACTCTTTTTTGGTTGAGAGTCCTAAAGGCCTAAGTCTCGCTGCCCCAACTCTGTGCAGTGAAGCTCATGAGCTTATAGGTAGGCCCTCTACTACCTTAAAGCATTCAACCCCCAATGCTTGAAGGCCCTGTAGACTAAACCCGAAACCTTCCGCA